GTGGCTCTGAGGTGGACTGTACGGGCTCTCAGGGGGTCTGTACGGCTCTCAGGGGGGCTGTGCAGCTCTCAGGTGTTCTGTACGGGCTCTCATGGGGGGCTGTGCGACTTTCAGGTGGGCTGTGTTGCTCTCAGGGGGGCTGTGTGACTTTCAGGGGGGTGTACAAGGCGGTATTCACAGCATCTGTAGGGCAGCTGCGGCTCTCTAAATAAAAAAGTTCTGACCGTTTTGTGATAGAAAAATTAATCCACCTGTCTCCTGATGCAGTTGATTGATTCATTTTTTAATGAGCAGAGATCAACAATGAGTACAAAACTGCTGCAAGTCAACAAATAATTTTGCCATCTCCTGCCAATGAACTACCGCCATTACCATCTCCTGCCACCCCTGCTGGCCCACCACCATTACCATCTCCTGCCCTGCTGTTCTCCTGCCGTCATCCTATTCTGCCTCTGTTGCTCGATTCCAGTTGTTCAGCACAGCAAAAGGTGCCGCACATAATGTTTGTGCAACTGAGCCTCCGTTGCAAAATGTATAGGGGTTGCTGCATGGTAAATCATGTTGTTTTTCTGCTAGTTGCTGCTAGCTGTGGCCTTTTCCACTGCTCCAGCAAGCAAAAATATTTGTGGCTATTGAGTCTCTAAAATACTGTACTCTAGCTGTGATGTCTTCACTAATACCTGTCTAAAAGGAAGAGATCAATCTGTAGCCTAGTAAAAGTGCCTACATACTGTGCATGGCATTTGGAATTTCTCATGTTGAAAATTAGGTCCAATGAACTTTTTTTAGTAAAAGCTCCTGTTCAGAATTCAGCTTACCAAAAGTGCATAAATATGGTCTATAGAGTCACTAAAATATTGCTTCCTTTTTTGTGCTAAATATATTCACTGCATGTGTTGTGTCAGTTTCAAAATATGGCCTACAAGACATTGTTGAAATATTGCCTATGCAGTCTGTACAATATTGCCTTGCTTAGTAGAGGTGCACCGAAATAGAAATGTAAAAAACGAAACCGAAATAGAAAAAATTGTCAGGCCAAAACCGATACCGAAATTTTTTTTATTTTAGTTTTTTCACATTTTTAAAATATTTTATTTTTATTTTTTATAAACTTTAAAAAAAAACAAATTGATTTTATTTTTATTAAATGTTAGCGGATGAGCAGTGTGGGAGGACAGACACCGGCCGCTCACAGCGCTTTCCTCCCACAGTGCTAGGCCAGCTGTCACTTTCTCTCCTCCCCGTTGGGACACAGAGCAGCACCCAGCGAGGAGGAGAGAAACCTGGGATGTGCCGATGTATCGGCAGGAAAATTGCACTTTCGGCATATAGCCAAAAGTGCCATTTTCGGCCGATATATCGGTGCATCCCTATTTCATTCGTTTTTGTCCTGAAAAGCTGCATGACGTAAGTGTTTAAGCAAATGAGGCCTATCATTTTTATTTTTAAATATGCACATGTAGTATATACTATTGTTTTAAGTACTACATATGCAGTGTGTGCCATATGCCTTCTATTTTAATCTAGAGAAAATACAGGGGGCAATTCAATGAAGCATTTGTGACCCTCTTTGAGGTTGGAGCCAAAAAATTAATGAAAGCGGTGCAACAGTTTTCTTGCTATTTCCACAGAGTGCAACAAATTCAGGCTTTTCCCATGTACTTCCATTTTGGATTCCTTAACTGTATATATGTGTACTGTCAAAGCATTCCCTTCCACTCACATGTCTAGGCTGAGTATAGGCCAACCTTAATTTCTTAAGGCTGTGTTGGTTGCCAAGGAGATACCTTTTAGTGTTTCTGTATTTGACTGATAATGGACCTCATTGGATTTATATCTGTAGCTGCTGATTTTAGTTATATATTTAACCTCCCTTGAAATGCTAATTGGCACCTAATGTTTGAGTAATATGTATTTTATTCAGTATCTGGTTTTCTGTAATATGTATTTCATTCAGTATCTGGTTTTCTGTGTTGTGTTTTTGTTGTAGTGCTTTGATTAAAAAGAATTTAACTCATCTATAAAAAAAATGTGTGATTATTGTTTGGAATGTATTGGGATTTATTTTCTGTTAGGGTCTTTTTTTATTATTTCTGATTGTGTAGTGTACACTTATTGCTGACACAAGATAAGTTGCCCTTTGTTTGCAGCACATCACTGCATACTTGTGCATAATGCAATAGCTGCTATTTAAATTGGGCAATCACCTTTAATAAAAATGTCAGGCATGCTTAACATAAGAGGCAGATGTTCTGTACATGAAGGTAGTAGGGAGCTAGCAGGTTCTGCAACCAAAGCCCTTTACTTTTAAAGATGACAAAGCTTTCTCTCAACTCCTCCTAGGCAGGGGCGTATCTAACTAGGTGTTTGCCTTGGGCGGCATTTTTCAGGGGGGCAGCCCCCCAGGCAGAGGGGACAAGGAGCGGGACAGCTTCGGACATGAGGTAAATGCTCGGCAGCTCGGACCGTTCAAAGGGGTGTTTGCCGTGGGGGGGATTTTTGGGGGGGGGGGGGGGGGCGGTCCCAGGCAGAGGGTGAGCAGAGGGGACAGTAAGCGGGTGAAGGGGTCAATTATTGCACATTCATTGTTTCTGTGCAGGACATTCTGGAAAGCTTCTAAATTGTGGAACTGTCCGAGCATTTACATGTCTCAGTGTCTAATGAGGAAGCCGCAGCCATTCTTAGTGAACAGCTTCCTCATCAGACACTGAGACATGAGCGGTTCCCTGACAGCACGGGACATTACCTTCTCGTCCCGATCTCTTGCCTCCTCTGTGTGCTGCAAGCCTCCCCCTTCCACCCCCCTCCCCATCCTCGACTCACGAGCCTCAGCCCAGACTCGGACAGAATGCTTCCTCCATCTCCCCAGGGGAACGTGGTCCACCGGTCTGCCTGAAGGCGAGGGAAACTGAAACTTGAAGCCTAATAATAACAGCCGGGCTGCGGTGTCACTGGGGGAGGGGGGGGGCTCTGACAACAGAGCCCCATCAGGCAGTGGTCTAAGAACCGGTGATCGTGTGGCCGCCCTGGGCACAGAGCGGGCTACAGGATTGCCACCTGATGACAAGCTGACAGGTCCTGCTGGTCTGCATCTGCACCTCTTGCTGGGAAAGGAGACTCTGGACTACGCCAGCAGCTGGAGGGGGCGATCCAGGAGGCTGACAGGTATCTGGTTGAACTGCGGCAGATAGATGCTCAGCATCTGGAGGCCAAGAATAAGAAAGAAGATCTGAAGTCCAAAGCACAGGAGAGCCTCAGACACTGAAAGCTGAAGTGTAAAATGGAGAAGAAAGAAAAGACTGTGAAAGTGACAAGCAAGCACTGTACAGAGGTCAGGTGGCATTTAAATTTCGGTTGTGACATGCACAGTAATGCACTGTATATGCTTTCTAACCCTGACCCTCAGGGGCCACTGATAGGTCATGACTTTCTAGACTCCCAGATAGCAGCAGTAATTAACTTCCTTCTGATTCTACTTTATAAAGGTGGCCATACACTGTATGAATTTCAGCTGGTTCTTGATAAACCGGCCAAAATTCACATAGTGGGTGCTGCTTTCAGGTGGCATCCCTCGATTAACTGATCGAAAAAGCCAGTCGGAAAATCTTTGTAGGAACAGAATCGGTAGCCGGTTGCTGTTCGGGTATTCTGACAGTGCCCAAAGGCCACTGAATCAGTGTATGACCCCGAATCACTGACACAACATGTCACTCTGTGCTCACTCTCCTCGCTCACTCCCCTGGCTGTCTCTCATTACTGTCTCTCTTGGCTGTCTCTACTCTCTCCTGACTGTCTCCCCTCGCTCTCTTTCCCCAGGCACTCCCCTCGCTCTCTCTCTCCCCTCTCTCTCTCCCCAGACACTATCCTCGCTCTCCTGGCTTTCTTGCCTCGCTCTCTCTCCTGGCTATCTCTCCTGGCTGTCTCTCCTGGCTGTCCTCGCTCTCTCCTGGCTGTCTCTCCGGGCTGACTCTCCGCGCTCACTCCCCTGGCTGGCTACACAAAACAACAAAACATAAGCACTTGTTATCCACTTTTAGGCCCCGTTCACACTTAGCGATTTATCGCGCGGTAATTCCCGCGATATCGCGGCAATTTACAGCGCGAAATCGCTCTCCAATGCTTCTCAATGGGGCAAAGGGTCCTGCTGTCGCGGGTCGTGCATTGCTACAGCAGGACCCTTTTTGGAGCGGATTTAGCCGCGATTCAAGCTTGCTCAATGCAAGCATTTGCGTGATATCGCGCGACAAATCGCAAAATGCAAATTGCGCAACTAACGCACGATTTGCGAATTGCGGAGTGTGAATGGGGCCTTAATGTTTAGAGAGGAAGAGGTAGAGCTCTAAGAGGGAAAGGTGGAGCTTAAAGAGGAAGCAGTGGAGTTAAACAGGAAGGGGTGGGACAAATGTAAATTGGAGGGGTGCCCGAGTTTAGTCTTGCCTAGGGCAGCACAAAACCAAAATACACCACTGCACCTAGGCACAGAGCAGCCAATTGTCTAAAAGTGCTGCAAAAGCGGCCCTTTCCTCTTCTTCTGCTAATCTGGCCATAACCTTGCAAAATAGATATGAGGGTTGGTGAAATTATTTGATCGCTTGATAACTAAATTGCTATAGGAAGATGATCTTGGTCATACACAAGCATTCCTTCTTTCAGACATTGAGGATGAGGAAGATAGCACTTTCACTAAAAAGAGGAAGGTTCAACCATACAGCATTCCAGGGACATCAGTGGGGGACAGGGAGCAGCAAGAGGCAGTTAAGTTCTAGCAGTTGGAGTTTATTGAAAAATGGGCTTTAGCGATAGGAAAGAAGTGGGTGAGGAAGTAGCAGACCATCCATGGGTGCCTCCAATTGGAAAACAGAAAAGTCAGAGTGGCAGCGAAGGAGGATTCTGTCCAGGAGCAGGTGCAACTTGCAGAATACTAAAGTTTTAGAGTGTCACATTCCCCACCCTCAAACTGCCCCCTACTTACCTGAATCACAAGGTGTGTCTCCATGCACCAATGTGTTGTTAATGGAGCCTGCACAGCTGCACCATCAATTCAGAGATCATTTACAGGGATCTGTGAATGGAAAGACTACAAATTTGCCACTGTGGCAGAGGGGCTCATAGATCTCAATAGAGCACAAGTACAGTACTATCACCACATTTGTAGTCCACTGCTCTCTTCCTCCAGCCCCAAAACAGTTGGTCTGTACCTTGGACTTGGGGCTGGGATGTACAGATCTGGATCAGTGCAGGAGCCTGAGCATTGGACTTGCAACACACTGATCACAATTTCAATGCTCTGCAGGCCTGAATGCAAACAAAGAGCAGAAGTAAAAAAGTTCCCCAAATCACCCCCATAACCATTCCCTTAATGCTAGGTTGGCAAAATTGCTGGTTTCGCAGCTGCTCCCATTCCAACAAATGGAATCAGTTTATGGCTTGTACTACACTTCAATGGCAGGTATACAGCTGCCATTATTTTGCCCAGAAGGCTATCCCTTACCAGAATGTGGAATGTAATGTGTCTATTCCACTGGACCACACTGTCCTGGGAAAAAACACATGCAGCTTGTCAGGGGTTTATTGTGGTTTGGGGACTGCAGGGTCTTAGGGGGGCTGTGTTCTTTCCAAGTTGATGGAGGAAGCAGATAGTCCGCTCCGCCCTCCCTGAGTTTTGTGGTTTCTGATGGTTGCAAGGTCCTTTTTATGTCATGGCAGCATGGCGGGTTAGGGGGTCTTTGGGGGGTCTGAAACTCTGAATCAGTTACACAAATGGGGGGCCAGCAGCTGGTATGGGTGCTTCCCCCTGTTGGTGTCAGTATTTGTAGGGGGGGGGGCTGGGCCCTTGGAACTTGGGAGCAGTAACTGTCTTCGAGCTGGTTGGGGTAAGGCCTGGGACATGGGAGGAGTTTTTCAGAGAGGCCTTATTTGGGCTGTTGGGCACCCAAAGACCCCTTCTCAGATCAAACAGTCATTAAGTATTTATTTGTATAGTATTTTGGTTATTGTTAAAGTTGGTTTGGTTAATAAAAGGGCTGCTGTGGCCATTTAAATCCATGTCGCATAGTCCGTGTGTTTATTGGGGGTTTTTAACAGAGGGACCTAATTGACGAATCCATCAGTCATGTTATGCTGCATGATGCTTCTCAGTAAGAACTCCTCATATGTACATAATCAGAAACTACTTAAACAAACAAAATGTTTAATGCATTAACACACTTTAATAAAAAAAAGAATTGTATTCAGCATGACTTCATGAACTCTAGTATAATATATTTTATTATTTTCTTTACATTCTTGCTGGTTTGGTCTGGTACCTTGTTGACACATTTTAGGCTGCACGGAAAGAAAGAATGCTGGTATTAAGAATACAAAAATAATCTTAAATCTAACAATCCATATTTAAACACAATCTCACATTCAATTTTGTCCCAGAGGACTAATTAAAAGAAGCTTGGCAGCACCTTATTTCGGAAAATAAATAACAGAATTCTATTAAAGCAATTAAACAGAAAAAATGTCTACTAATTGCAATTTCTTTTAGAGGAAGACACCTGGTAACACCTCCAGTGGTTTTAAATGAATCTATCTTGTTTTCATTCCCTAGTCCCAAGTGGATAATACTGTTTATTAAATATAGAAGTTCTTGAGGAAGCCTGCTGCAATTTTTCATGATTGTAGTACCAAAAAGCTCTACACTTCATGTCAGTAATTAAATAATTACCTACCTGATACTTCATCTAGCAAATTCTAATAATTGTATAATTGTATTTTTATATGAATCAAAAGCACGGTAAGTTAAAATAGTTTGTGAATATTTATGATATATTCACATTAACATACAAGTAAAATGCTATACACACACATGTTGATTATAAATGATTATGTTATATTTACCAGAAGCAGAGCATATAGTAGTACCCATATAAACGGTCAATCCAGCCAAATCTGATATTTATTTGGGCAAATAGCCCACAACTTCAGTCAATTTTAATCTTCTTACAATGTGCTGTGGAAAATGCAACTGGAGGAGTTGAAAATTGCACCCTAAAGTCCCAGGTCAACAGGAACTACTTTAGCAAATATGGCAGGGCGATCTTGCTGTTTTAATATTAAATTTGTATTAAAGGAGAGGGTCTGACTCAGCCCACCAAGCTCTAACTATATGTCACTTTTATAATATGTTGCATATGTCACAAACCATAAAATCCTTTTGGGTGGGTTGGACTTTTAAAATTAAGGACAATTTAGCAGGAGAATGTATATTCTTCCTGCTGCAGAAGGAAAAGTGAACATAATTGTAATGGGGTAACGGTTCAGAAATTCTTTTGCAGCTGAACTCTAGGCAGATATAAAAGATGCTAACTATTGATATTATAAATTACATTCCTATCTCATGCTCACTTGAAATCGGGCTGAGAGTAAGCATTTCCGTTTAAGGAACTATTCAGGCTCTATAACACTGCTGTGCTCTTATACTAATATGTCCCAGGCACTGTGGACTTGGTGGTGTTGGGGTGGGGGCTAGATGGGGCTTATAGGTTTTAATCATTTTGATTTTTTTTGTTGAGATTAACTCACATAAGTGAAGATTCTGTTCATTTTTGAAGCCTGAGCTTTTTGGGCATCTAGCATATATTTTGTTAGGTTTGAAACTAGTTTGTTATTAACGCACACTTTGTCCATGTTTAGGTCATGCTGCTAGTATTCTAAGACTGATTCCTTTAACACATCAAATATCATACACAGTTAATTTTTAAGTCCTAATTCCTAAATAAAAATAAGAGCAATAAAATAAAAGTTGTGCTGGTCTGACTTCATTGACTAGAACTTAGTTTGTCCTGCAGTAGTTTTGCTTTAAAATACCTCTGTTTGATTTACAGGCAGTTCAGCTGAGTAGATCAAAATGTTCGGGATTTAGAAGGCAGACAGTCGGCTTTACATATGTAAACAGAGTTCCGGTGGCTATAGTCACTGGGAGTCTGTTTAAGGGCCCGCTGCCAGCGACATATGAGATACATCAGTGGCAGCAAAAGGGTTAAAAGGTCCTGCTCCTAATTCAGAAAAGCCCTGTTACCAGTTTAGGTAGCTTATCCGACACTTGTGACAGATTCAAATGGTTCTTAATAGCACCACTTTAAAAATATTTTGTTATGGCTATGACAAAATTCAAAAAGAATTACCGCTAGTTTACAGAAGAAAGAACTGGTAGTAATTAAGACCAACTCTAATCTAGAAAATATGGCCATAGCCATATTTAGGTAATGATGTTAGCCAACGTCCCCCACAATTTTGTTTACATTAAGTTGTCAGCCCTAGAATCTCCCTGCCGGCAGCTGAATGGGGCCGGGGATGAGTCATTGATTGCTAAAACTCTGTTGGCTGCGTTGCCAATAGCCTCTTAGCATCCATTGATACTGACAGTGGGCAGAGCCTGATGAAGAACTCAGAGCCTAGTCCCCCCTCAGGCCCACCCTGCTACTAATTGAAAGGAGGTAATGGGTGAATGCCATAGCTAATAGCAGGTAAATCTTAGGTGAAAGTTGTGTGAACCTTGTGTAAAAACATTTGTAAACAGACCCCTAAGTTATATTAACTGTATTAATTGTATTGATTAACCCTATATCTACATTTGTGGTGATATTTTTGGAATGCCTGTAAAGTTTCCAAAGCTGCAACTAATTATATATGTGTATTTTCCCTAGGCATGTAGAATAATTTCTATGTCAATACACGGCTACCTCTTTTATAATGATAGAAAGCAATGTATTACATAACAATCTGATTTGGCGGTTTATCTGTAAGTGTAATTAGTCTACACTGTGTGTAAGAGTGTTTCCAAAACATTTCATAATTTTATTTGGATATTATTTAATACTAAATTTATCATTCTTGCAAAAACTATTGCCAATACAATGATTAATAATCAGTCTGTTAGCTAATTTGTCATAGTAGGATTCACAGATATTACCAACGAATACAACAACAAGCTAATTTTTCTGCTGTTTATTCTGCTCTTTATTTTTATCACTTGTGGAAATGCAGTAGTTATGCTAGTGATTATTTTTGATTCTCACCTTCATACACCTATGTACATTTTTATTGGTACTCTGTCAGTGGTTGAGATATGCATTGTCATGACAGTCTACCCAACACTGCTCGTCCTATTCCTAAAAGGAAAGGCATACATTTCTTTTGATTATTGTTTTTTGCAAATGTACTCTTTCGATGCATTTTTAATCACAGAGAATTATCTTCTGACTGTGATGGCCTATGATCGATATGTAGCTATTTGCAAGGCTCTTCGATATCATACCATTATGACCTTAAAGACCTGTAAGATATTGATATGTTCATGTTGGTTACTTGGATTCCTGAGCCCACTAGCTATGATCATCATGGTTTACAGATTACCTTTCTGTGGACCCAATATTGTTGAGCATATTTTCTGTGATGCAGCTCCATTGTTGACGCTTGCTTGTTCCAGTAGTAATCTTGATGTGTCAATGGATTTATCTGTTAGTTCCTTTACCATCATTTTGAATTCCATTTTTATTGTTTTTTTATATTCAAATATATTGTTTGTCATATTGAACATGAAAACATCGTGGGAACGGAAAAAAGCATTCTCTACTTGTGTGTCTCACCTAATTATGTCACTTGTTTTCTATGGAAGTGTTGCCTTTATGTACATACAGCTTCACCAGAGTTATTCTCCAGAGTATGACTTGGCATCAGCCATCCACCACTCAGTTCTGACTCCACTCTTGAGTCCTCTTGTTTACAGCTTTCGAAACAAAGAAATTAAGAGTTTTCTAAAGAGATTGCTTAAGATCAGGAGCTAATTATGAGCACTGCACTGCCCTGGGTAAAATAGGCCAGTAAAGACTCTGATGTCTGTGCTTCTTTTTTGGGTTAGTGGTTAGCACGTCTGCCTTGCAGCACTGGGGGTCCTCAGTTTGAATCCCAGTCTGGACACTATATGCAAGGAGTTTGCATGTTCTCCTTGTGGTTGCTTGGGTTTCCTCCAAGTACTCCAGTTTTTTCCCACACTCTAAATACATGCTGGAAGGTTAATTGGCTCCTGTCTAAATTGGCCCTGTATGCATGTGACATAGGGACCATACCTTGTAAGCTCCTTGAGGGCAGGGACTGATGTGAATGTGCAGTATGTAAAGCACTGCATAATTTTTTTGGCACTATATAACTGACTGTAATATATAAATACATTTTGATGAGGAGGAAGATGGAAGGATGTGATGCATTTTTTCTTTTATTTTTTAAGGGTAGTTTTTTTATTTTATTCCATTGGCCTCTGCCCTCCCCCCAAAAAAATCCCTATCAGAGTTTCACATAAATTAGGCCTTAAGGTAAAAAACCCTGGATGTTCCCTGTCTGTCTGTGTGTAGGGAGAGTTAGGTGCAATACAGTGCTTTACTATGTTATATTGTGCTAAATTACTGCAAATGTTTGTGGTGGACTACATTTTCTTGTGCTCGCATTCAGTCCTTTCTTAACTTTTTGTGTGTCAGCAGTAACTGTAGTTTCTATTTACCTGCTCCCTACCCAGCAATCTTTTTGTTGTTATAGGCTTATTGTTTTTTACACTCCTATACTTCTGCCATAGTGACCCAGGCGGCCGCTATGGGGCCCAGGGCACAAGGGGGCCCAGCCAGGACTAGAGACAAAGGGGTCCCCCTGATGTCCTGTGGGCTGCCTGGGTCGCTATGGCATTGCAGGCTGCTGCTGTCAGTAATCTGTGCAGTGGCGTGTTCCTCCTCACAGCTGCTGCTGAGTCCGTGACAGCCAGCAGCTTTGGTGGAGGAGGCCCGGGGCCAGGGGCGTAACTAGAAATCAAAGGGCCCCATAGCAAAATCTTGTAAGGCCCCCCCCCCTGCAACCACATCTCACTCCCCCATCCTGCAACAACGTGGTGGTGCATTGAAAACAATGGCACCGCAGCCACGCCCCCCTCCCCTCTCAGCAGTGTAATCGCCAACATCGTTCTATCAAAGATTGTGACTGGGTTGGAATGTGTGACCTGTCACATGGTCACACATTTTAACGAAATCCCGCCCAGTTTTTCGGCGGTGGAATGTGTGTTCGGCAAAAGGTGAAGAATTCCAATGATTGTTTCAGGGCAGATCGGCATTGCAGATTGTATGTGCAGGAGAACCGATCTGCCGTGGAACAGCTGATCGGTCCTCAAATATTGGACTTTGTGGAATGTGAGATTGCACTCACAAAGTCTGATAAAAGTGACATTTCAGGACCACTCAGCTGTTCCACGGCAGATCGGTTCTCCTGCACATACAATCTGCAATGCCGATCTGCCCTGAAACAATCATTGGAATTCTTCACCTTTTGCCGAACACACATTCCACCGCCGAAAAACTGGGCGGGATTTCGTTAAAATGTGTGACCATGTGACCAGTCACACATTCTAACGCAGTCACAAACTTTGATAGAACAAGCCAGGAAGCTTACAGTCTTGCTCCTGACCGGGCCCCCTCAGTTGCGGGCCCCATAGCGCCCGCATGGGTCGTTATGGCGGTAGTTCCACCACTGCCCGGGGCCCAATAGTGCAGCAGTGGAGGAGGTGGGGCCCGGTGATGGTGGAGGAGGAGGAGGAAGAGGCCAAGCCCGGAGGCAGTGGAGGAGGCGGGGCCCAGTGGTGGAGAAGGCTGACGGGTAAGAGGTGTGCAGGGGTGTTACCAGCCCCCTGAGACCCTGAGAGTATATGGTGGGCTCTGCAAGGTCATAGGTGGGCTGTGCGGAGTCCCTGGTGGGCTTTGCAAGGGGTGTAACTAGAAATCACAGGGCCCCATACAAAATTTTGCTATGGGGCCCTGTGATTTCTAGTTACGCCCCTGCCTACACTGACCTGCCATTGTCACACCTGACCTGCTGGCCACCCTTTGGCAAAACACTGCACACTTAGCTTTGCAAGGCACATGTCTTTAACCTGCAATTCCTCATTCACAATGTGCAAGAGCAGTGGGAGGTAAAGGAGGAATACATGGAGGAAAAGGAAATTAGGTAAACTCCAAGGGGGATGTTTCACCCCTCCCAAACTGCTGGAGTTGTACATGGGTGAGGAGAAATCATTGAGGACTAATGACAAATAGCACCTTGGGCCAAACCCTGTGTAGTTGCAAGCACTATTAGAAGTGTTACCCTCTAAATGTATTAAATTATAATAATGAATGTGCTGCGCTTCATTTAGAACAATCAAATAAATAAATAAACAAATCTCTATAATAAATATGTACTAAACAATACATGCAATCAACGTGTTCACAACTGTTTTTCTTGTATATATCAATCCTAGATTATTGATATAATAAATATCCCTCTGGAAAGTCCAATCATATATTCCGTGTCTAGATGTGCATTTTTAGTGTAACCCTACCCCCTTTCTCAATGTGTAATCAGTCCAATAATGGTTCACTGGCTTGTGTTGTCAAGGATAGTATCCTCAGATACTCAAACATTTTAAGAAGCTGTTTAACAGGCTGTTCATAAGAAGCATCAACAGATCTGATCCATGCCTCGCAAAAAACTCTCTCAAGACATACAATCAAAAGTATTTGATCTGCAAAAGGCTGGAAAGGAATACAAAGCTATCTCAAAGTGCTTAGGCATCCATCAGTCGACAGTTAGACATATTGTCTATAAATGAAAAGAGTTTAGTACTGTGGCTACTCTGCTTATTAATGGACGCCCAGCCAAGATGACTCCGAAGGCACAACGCAGAATCCTCAATGAGATGAAAAAGAACCCAGGAGTAACGGCTAAAGGCTTGAAGACATTACTGGAACTGGCAACATCCCTGTTCATGAGTCTACCATATGTAAGTCTTTGAACAGGCAGGGTCTCAATGGCAGAACACCACAGTGGAAGCCACTGATCTCCCAAAAATACATTGCTGCATGCCTGAAGTTGGAAGAGCACCATGGAAAACCGAAACACTACTGGGAAAATGGAATGGCCCAGTTAGAGCCCAGACCTTAACCCCATAGAGATGCTGTGGAATGACCTCAAGAGAGCCATTCACACCAGATATCTGGAGCTGAAGCAGTTTTGTAAAGAAGAATGGTCAAAAATTCCTCCTGAAAGATGTGCAGGTCTGATCAGGAGCTACCAAAAATGCTTATTTGAAGTCATTACTGCCAAAGGAGGTTCGACCAGCTATTAACTCCAAAGGTTCACTTGCTTTTTCCTTCAGCACTGCGAATGTTAATGGGTGTGTTCAATAACGACAGGAGAAATTTGCATTGTTTGTGTGTTTTTAGCTTAAGCACACATACTTTTTCTCGCCACTGTATATTAAGTGCAAAAGTTCATCTATTCATTAAAATGTTCCATGGCAGGTGAAACAGCCTGATATGTGCCTTGTTACTCCCCACTATGTTTCTTAGTTTTTCAGCTGGGGACCTTTTTTTCATTTGACCTGCCTGATTGCCCAGGAGTTCCAGACCACAGTTTTCTGCATGCTTAAACGCGTGCTGTCCGATGCAGTTTCTTACATTTGCATTTGCAAAATATGAATTTTTTTACTACAAAATAACTTCAAACTAGTATATATTTTCTGAAAGCAGAGGCCCTGTAACAAGTTGCAATTTTTTATGTTGCACGGTATTTGCGCAAATGTTTATCAAACAAGTATTTTTGGGATAAAATACACTAAAATGAAATTTAGTGCACAAAAACAGAATATAATACTCAATTTTTTGGTAAAATATAAAATATGGGCTCACGCAGGGTAAACAGATACCAAACATGTCAAGCCTTAAAATTGCGTTTGTCTGTAAAACTACAATAACAACAAAGTTTTAAACGCTTTTAGTACTCATCAATTTAGTGTTAACAGTGATTGATGGCCCTAGAATTATTGCTCTTACTCCAACGCTTGCGATGATATGTAACATGTGTGGCACAATTTTCGCTCTTGCGCATCCGATGTGTGTTTGCGTTTTATGTGCGTGCACGTGGGGGGCAGGGGACATTAAAAAATGTTTTTACATTTAAATTTTTTTAAAATCTGTTACTTTAATTTGTTTTACACTCAACTGTATTGCTATCACATAGGGGGATAGTAAGCCCCCAATGCAATAACAATTATAATAGAGGTGCACCAGAAAAAAAAAATGGAAAAAAATGTCAGGGCGAAACCGAAATTGTTCTTTTTTATAAACTTTTCACATTTTTAAAAACATTTTATTGTTTATAGACTTTTAATTTGTTTTATATATTCATTTTTATATTCTTTACTTTACTTTTAGGGGCTTTGGGGAAAAATCGGGGGTCAAAACAGACCCCTGATATTTCCCTTTTAAAATGGAAAAAGAGATTGAGGACACAGAGTCCTCTATACTGAGTGTTCCTGTTAATTCAGAACCTGTGGAGATAGTGTGTTTACTATATCCAAAATCATGAATGAACAGGAGGTGATGTAGATCACTTCCCATTCATTCATAATTGAGGACACAGTAAACATACTATGTCCTCAATTATTGGTGAGGGGAGGAGAGACGCCAGCGGGTCACAGCGTTCTCCTCCTTCCGCACCACTCGGCCTCCTGTGACAGTTTCTCTCCTCCCTGCTGGGACACAGAGCAGCGCCCAGAAGTGCCATTTTTGTCCGATACATTTTGGTCGGTTGAAATATCCGTGCATCCCTAAAAAATAATATGACAGGTCCTCTTTATAGAGACATCAGATGTCTTTCAGTCCCCTAATGTCACTCAGGGACCCCAAAGAAGCTGATGAAGCAGAGATTTGCTTTAGTAGCTTTTTCTTCTGGCTCTAGGAACAGGAGAATGTGCACTGTGACATCAGAAGTG